ATCACCTGAGGATCGCGATTCAACCAACGTCGATGTTTCAGCAAAATTTCTAGCTGTAAAATTCCTCGTTCGATCTTTCTTTGTGTCGAAAAAGGCTTGTTGATGATTCTGTTCGTGCTATATCCTGTAGAAACGGACGTTAGCAAATTTTGCAATGAGTTAATGTCGCTGACATTAATCGGACTTTGGTCCAAGTCACCTCACTGAGGATCGTGATTCATCAATGTCGATGTCTAAGCAAAATATTTTTAGTTGCACAACTCATCATTCTCAATCCAGTCTTTCATTGCGTCAAATTGCGAGGAAGGATTGATAATTTTACTCGTGTTAACAAAAGACTGTATTTCTTGACGAGTTGTCGATTAATGTAGCTGCGAGAGAAGTCAAGGGTGGAAGACACTAAAAATTTTCATCTATAAATCTTATATTATATAATTACTATTGTGCATTATTTACATTTATTTCGTGGCCAATATTAGCTTTACATTGGGAAATACTGGCCAATGCACTTCCAATGTAACCAATGTTGGACCAATGTTTAGTCAACGCATTGTGCTGCTAGGGCAGCTCAATTCGTTCTTTGTCTCTTTCCAACTTTACTTTAAAACCAGACAAACATGTATCAAACAAAGATTAAAGTTAAGCGACGTTTCGCGAAACCGGACCTAATATAGGTAAAAAAAGCACTTGATGCATTATTGATCAAACGCATTGATCAATAATGAATGAAAAACATATTAAAAAATATGTGATATCGTCAAGTCTCAAAGAGCTGTCGAATTTCCTCAAAACATTGACTGCGTTCAGCAGAAGTTAGCGCTTGCTAAGCGCTTTGCGCTCATTGGATTATACTTTCAGGTCTGTGCTGAAATAGAGCTATTCCTCTAGATCTATCCAATCAGCATGAAGCGCTTATTAAGCGCTGACTTCTGCTGAACACAGCTATTGGCCGCGTTCAGCAGACACAACTGTTGAGTGAGCGCTCGGTATGATTGGTTAATACTTTTAGATCCAGCCAATCATATTAAGAAATCATTGAGCGCTCACTCAACAATTGTGCTTGCTGAACGTGGCCATTGGCTGCGTTCAGCAGGAAAAGCTGCTTTGCAACTGTTGTAAAATTCGTGAGTCTGATTGGCGTATTCTTTTAATGTTGAGTGAATTTAAGAGCATACGCCAAGCAGATTCACGAATTTTACAACAGTTGCAAAGCAGCTTTTTCTGCTGAACGTAGCCAATGTATCTTTTGACGTTTACAGCTGCGACGTGCTCGAAGTTGAACCCTCGGATCCGGCGAGAGCGGCAGTTCGAAATTGGCGCGCCGCGCGCTTGGTCGATAGCTCGTGCATGAATTGAATACACGCGAGACGAACCCAAGCGTCCGCGGCGTCCGGAACGACCGACCGCCGCTCCTACGGCGCGCGGCTCAGGGCGCATGCCCCGGGGGGTTTATTATCTTCTTTCTGTTCAAGTGCCATTTCGTTGCATGCAGTGCAGTCTATAAAACAGAATGCGTTCTCCGCGGGTCTCGAGTTTCCTATCACTTATCGTCATTCGTAGCGTATAAACATAACAGCACGCGGTCATTAGCTCTCGATTCATATTGTTTACGTATTCGTCTGGCACATGGGAGGGCGGCCGGAGCGCGGCTGAAAATCGCGTCGGACCCGCTTCGCGAGTGACGACGAGCACGTATCGCCGTTCGTGGCGTTCCCTCGAGGCGTCGTGATTACAGATATCGGTGCGCGGGACTCACCCCGGGCCTTGCGGACGCGCAAAAATGTCATCGAGCTACGCGGACGGGTTATCGCCGTACGAAAACAAAGGAGTGCTGGGACAGGAGGAGGTAAAGGAAAAAGGAAAAAAAAAGGGACGATGCTCGGCGGGGACGAGACTTTTTTTTCTCTCTCCCCGTGCTCTTCTCGACGCGCGGCGTGACGCGACGGCGGTTCCTCGACCCCCCCGTCGCCGCGACTCGTCGCGGAGTCCGTCGTCGAGAGCGACGCTCCGCTTTTTTTTTTCTCTCCCTCTCCTCTCCCTCGTTTCTTTTTTTTCCCCTCTTTTTCTCACTCCTCGTCTGCTTGCAGAGATACGACAGCGTCGAGACCCTTCGCCTGAAATGCGGCCTCCTGGCCGACTGGATACACGGCGCGCGCCACGTCGTCCTCCACACCGGCGCCGGCATCAGCACCGCCGCTGGCATCCCCGACTTTCGGTGACTATCGCCAACCGCCCGCCTTTACCCCGAGATTACGAATTCCGCACCCCGAGCTCGCTCCCGTTCCCCCCTATTCACCTTCCTATCCCTCAGCCTCGGCCGAGGACTCGCGGCTTCGTGTATCCCGGAAGCGATGGCACGGGAGGAATTTTCGAGCACGAGATAACGCGTTGACGTAACGGTACCGAATTGTACTTGCGCTTTCGTAAGAGAGAGATCCGATCTTGCGCCAGCGTTCTAATGTACTTGTAAATATGCAAACGTAAACACCATGTACCTTTGCGGCTCGTTTTAATTTTGTGTTTTGAGTCCAGCGATCAATACCATATGTTGCGAGAAAATTCGAGATTGAAGAGAAAAATTAAGAAATTGTGTACGCAAATGATACAGTTCTTTGTCAACGAAGCAAATAGAAAACTCTGTAATTGGAGTATAACGCACGCTTATATTAGTCAATTTGAGCGACGTACTTTTGTGCATTAGGGGTACAAATGGCGTCTGGACATTGGAACAGAAGGGTTTGAAACCTTCTATGAACATCTCTTTTGACGAAGCAATCCCCACAAAGACGCATATGGCATTGAAAAAACTGATTGAGGCCAGTAAGTGTTGGCAAACTGACAGATAAAGAAACGTCCAAAATTCACTTTATAAACACTTTTCTGTCTCTACGTAATTTGTTGTTTTTTTTAGAAAAAGCAAAATTCATTATAAGTCAGAATATAGATGGACTGCATCTACGATCGGGAATACAGAGGCAGCATCTTGCTGAATTGCATGGAAACATGTTTACAGAGCAGTGTGACAAATGTGGCAGGTTTGTACACACATGTGAAAAGATATAATCTAACGTGATAAAACGACATATAAATTGTTTAGACTTAATTATGTGCTTATACTTGGCTCTGCTGAAAAAAAATTCTTGTCGATAGACAATATGAGAAAGCAGGTCAATTGTTAGAGCGGCTTAGTTATAGCGAAAATATTGAGAGTACTGGGAATTAAAAATACTTTGCAGACAATTTATTCGTAACTTCGCGACTAAAAGCGTGGGAAAGAAATCCTTGGACACTGTATGCAGATCGGAGCAAATAGGCGGTCGTCCGTGCCGTGGCCGAATGCACGACACCATTCTCGATTGGGAGCATAATTTGCCGGACAGCGACTTGACACTGTCTGATCTTCACTCCAGGTAAATGATTATAATTAATTAATTATAATTAATATTATGTGTCAGAGCATATGTACAAAAGGTAGTCGAAGCTACGATGAGACACTCGAAGCGTGCAAGCTTTAACATCAAGGATTCAATTAAAAAATATAATATATTTATGCAATAGCACACATGATTTTAGTCTAGCCTGTGGAATGTCTCGGGTTCTGTAGTAAAAATTCTTGAGAACACTACAGAGTTGGGAAGTAACTCGTTACTTGTAACGAAGTTACAGTTACTATATTTTGGTAACTCTAACTTAACTTCGTTACTTATTCCCCGTCTGTGACTGTAACTTAACTCAGTTACACTTTTTCGATAACTGGTAACTAATTTGATAGTTGCTTTATATATTTTTGAAACCTCCACAGATTGCATCAGGCCTTGCATTTGCACGTAAATGCCTTTATCGACGCTTTACAATTCAAATGCAGATTTGATATTTTTATTGTCATTGCACGAAAGTAACTGCAAAGTAACAATTCGTTACTTTTTGAGTAACTGTAACTGTAACGCGTTACTTGTCAGAATTGGTAACTTGTTACCGTAACTTGGTACTTTAATAAAGTAACTTTCCCAATCCTGAGAATACTTACAGTTTGATGCACGTCTCGGTATTAAATGTTTATGCCGATGCTCTTTTAGTGTCGCCGATTTGAGTATATGCCTGGGAACGACGTTACAAATTATTCCAAGTGGTAATCTGCCTTTGTACACGAAAAAATATGGAGGCCGTCTCGTTATATGTAATCTGCAACCGACGAAACATGTAAGATTATTTATACATGGCATAAATTTGTGAAAGGGTACAAAGTTTTTCGCGATCTCATCATTGAAATGAAAACGTATTTGTAGGATAAGAAAGCTGACTTGATCATTAACGGCAACGTCGACGAGATAATGGTCGCGGTTATGAAAAAATTGGGATTGGAAATTCCGGAATACGAAAGCAGCATGGATCCAACGCGAAACTCCGACACAACGGCTAAAGAGATGGACTGGACAATCCCGACCAGCAGAGTAAAGGAGATGAATGTGCTGTACAAAAAGGTGTGCAAGCCGATGCGGAGGAAACGGAAAACGTTTATGTATGAGAGAGAGAGAACAGACACCAAACCGGAAACTAAAGCCAGGAAGCAAGCATTTACGGTTAAGCAAGAAATCAAAACGGAAGATAATAAAACTACATCGGGTGAAATGTATAAGACCGGAAACGATCGTGTGGGTGACAGCTCCGTTAAGACAGAAGAGACCGTGGAGGATGTTGAAACGTGTAGATACTCGATGGAAGACGCAACGGAGCATAACACTGATCTGAAAATGAATCAAACGGTGTAGCAAGTTTTGAAGTAATAATTTTCCATTCTAATATTTCGATTATTCTCAGTGTACGCTACAGTTACTTATGAGTGCATATTGAATAATGTTCATTATCCGTATAAAATATGCGATAGATTTGCTGATGTTCAATAGGCACACTTGCTGCACATTTAGTATTAAATGTGGCTTTCCCTCTTCCTCCCTTTGTCTTCCTTTGTCTCTTCTTTTTTCCTCCTTTCTCCCTCTCTCTTTAGTCCTTTTGTCCTTTCTCTGTTCCATTTTTTATTTGTAAAGAAATATACGAGACGAAAGATACAATTATGAAACGTAATTATATCTTTACTAAGATAGTTGCTTCTATATATTTACATATTTTTATCCAAACTTGTATTCCGGAAGCAATAACAAATGATCCTCATCCGCGAAAATAGTATTTCGGTCTGTATAATTTTATAAACGCGTACCAATTGTGGACATTTAACATTAAATGTGCAATATAAGAATATAATTTTGTTTTCAGGACGTCATTTGTGACAAAGACAGTGAAAATATTCCGATAGTTGTATATATTCTTATTAGTGTCTACAAAGTTCCGTTTGCGTGCTGCATCTGCTTTTTACAAGTAGCCTATATATTTACGCATATGCATATTAGATATTGCGACGAGAGATTCGACATAGAGAGATTAAATCTCTCGACAAGCAACGTGTTCCAGATTTCTCGTGCATAATACGATACTTTTTCCACTATAGATTACTAATAAGAGATTTTTCGATAAAAAAAAAGATCTTCCTAGAAGACGTTTTGCCAGTAAGAACTTCCATAAGCTTTTTTTAATTGAGAATAGCTGAATTCCAAGTAGTTGCTTGATCGTAATAATAAGAATAATACAGATATGAGAGCTGCCTAGTACACGAATACTTTATGCCCATATAAATGGTTGAGAAATTATATCTCCGACAGATTTTTATATTATCTATTAAAGAACTAGAGATTTTCATATATATAATTTTCCTCTATCTTCCATTCCTTTCGTGAATATCTTTCATTGATTCTGCAATTTTCAGCAATGCAAAAAATACATGTATCCTGCGAAAAAATATGTATAAAAAAAAAGTATATCTATCGAGATAATTTTGAACGTCTCAAATATGGCTGAGAAAAAAATATAAACCTAATTAAGAAAGGGGCAAAATAGCAAAAATGATTTTAAAAATGTGGCGTTACGAACGATTGGATTATAAAGAGATTATGAATCCAGCGTCGTTTCTACTGGCGACATTTCCTTATGACTTTCCTAAATAATTGCTTCCGTAAATAGATTAATTCTGGGTCCCGTTGATCGTCCTCGATGTTCAGGTATGTTTGCCTTATGAAAATTGACAGCGCACACGGGACCGATTTGCGCGTCATATAATACAAAGCACATTGTATAAGTAAGCTAATAGCACTATTTGCTACAAGCTGATGTTAGATTGTCCGATAAATTCAGATGTTGAATTTTTAACAGAGTGCGCCGTTTTCCATATAGTGTTGAAGGGAATGTTGAAAGTAAAAGTTTTAACAATATCTCGCAGAGTTAGTATGCTAAACGATTTTTCGCGCGTAGATTATACAAGCTGCCACTTGTAGAGTGCATTCCGATAGAATGCGATATAGCGAATCATGTAATATTTATATGTACATAGTGATGTTTGCTTCATTCATCGTAATACATGACTTTATTTAAGTAATCATTATTATTCGCCAGATATAATATTCGGAAATAAAAAATACATCTATGAAAAGGTCTACGATGTGCGCAATCTTTTCCAACTACCTCAATCCGTGGAAACCATTAAATTACGTTGTGACGTTCAATTTAATACAAAAGACTCTAATAACAGGGCGATATCTTGTAATTTTCTACGCGTCTACGCGTTACGAAAATATATAAATGAGTGTAAAAGAACAAAAGGGAATTCCCCCACTTATAGCGTTATATTATGGCGCTTTTCATATTTATAACATTCGTATTACAGTGGAACATTACGAGTGTACCATTGTATAAAAATTAACACTTCCCTAGAAGGCGTTTCAGTTGAAAAGTCTCTAGATCCGAATGAATTTTATAATTATAAAATTTGTTGTGGTAACACGACGAATATGATATTCTCATAGGGATATCCCGTAAATGTCGATAACAGTATTAAAACGATAACAATATTGAAAAAAATACTGATCAGTTCCAGTATTATCGATATTCCTTGCTCATCTTTCCAAGAAATATTATCTTTATCGTCATAATAATTTTTTACATGCTTAGAAAGAATAACGTATCGTATAAAAAAAAACATTTTTTCCCTTTAAGTTAGTTTAACAATTTCTAATACTGCAATAATTACAATTATAATTATTTCAGAGAGATATTGATATTTTATCGCATTGTCATGCGCAGTTGATATACCGGGTGTCTGAAGTTTTACGGCCGAATCGCGTCGTTGTGTTCTATGACTAAAAATAAGAAGAAAATATTATAAACAGATCTATAGCTTTTATACAAAAAAAATGTAAAAGTCTAATGATGTAAAATTGGTGACTTTCTAGGTCAAGGCGTCACGGCAGACAACCATCTACTTATGTTGACATGTTTTGACGTATTAAGAAAGTTAAAAATACTTTTATAAATGCATTACTTCATTAGCCCCATAAAATTCTTTATGAAAACTAATGAATTTCCTGTTCCGCGTGTACGTACCTCGTGGAATTGACGTTATTGAGACGAAGTGATGTTTAGAAATGGTGCGTAGAGGAAAGTCCTCTATTATGAGAAAGGTTTCTAATACGAGACAGCAGGTTTTCAACACCCAAATTCAATCACTAATCTTTTGTCGCAACAATTACGCAATCTAACGATGAATTTTCCACTAAACAGACTTTACTCCAAGGGCAATAAATTCATGGTGGAATCAACTGATGATGCAGCTATTTAACAGAAACCCCACTATCCCATATTAGAATCCTATCTCATAATAGGGGACTTTCCTCTATTACAATAATAAAATGATTAATAATAGGAATAGATTCCCTTCATTCATGCAACGTTTTATTTTTATCCTAATTTTTTAAAAATAAAGCTTCTATTATATAACGTTTTGTACTTTTACGTTTACTCATAAAACACGCTACGGCAATTTGATTGTTAAAACCTGTAATGTGTGAGACCCTACATAATTGTATAAAATTTTCTTATGAATTTTTTAACTCGCCGTAAAGAAAACTAATACGTGTACGATTCAATGCAAAAGGCATGGGTCTATCTCGACCTATTTGCCTGGTTTTATCGTTAGCTTTTATCGCTTTCTTTTCTAAATATTTTTCTCTAGCGTTCTCTACACAACGACCACTTGAACCGGCCATTTCTCTCTGTCTCTTTCTTTCTCATATACCCATATGCACCGCAGCAAGTAGGGATTTCTGGGAGAGCCATTGTTGGCTCTTCGGGACTTCCCCTCAACGTTCAAAAGACGATCACTGTGTGCGACTGTGTGTGTGTGTGTGTCTGTCTGCTTCGCGCGTGTGTGTGCGCGCAGGAAGTTGCATCACACGATCCAGTCTAGATCCAACTGGTGGTCGGTGCATACAAGCGAGAGTGCAAGACCTACGATCGTCGAGTCAAGAGCATCGAACACATGGAGGAGACGAAACCCAAGAAGGTTCGCGCCGGCGACGAATCCGCGATCGGTCAGTATTTAGTTGTTGCAAATCTCGGTGCAGATTTATGCACAACGAAACTAAAACGAAGTGCATACGCGTGTAAATGCGATGTCCCGTTGCTAAAAAAGCTACCTTGCCACCAGCAATCGCGAAAGATCACGTAATTATTGACGTTACTATTGTTCGATGCAATCACGCCTAGCCGAATACTTCGAGATCGAGAGAATGTTCTCTGTATTCTCTATCGCCTGAGTTCTCTAATCGTGACTATCCATTCCTTTGTCTGCAATTAAAAGTAACCCTGTCTTTCTGGCTGCGGTCAAGCTGCCGTTTCGAATGTTACGAGGTATTCTTCTTCTCTTTTCTTTCAGTAAAGATAGAAAGAGAGGAGAAACGCTTCGAAGCATTTATAGCGGCAGCTTAACCGCAACCTCTGTCTGCGTATAATTCTTCGTCACGAAAAATACGGATTCGGCCATCTTTTTTTTTGTACTTAATTAACAGAAAGTAATGCAACAGTTCGACAAATAATTAAAAGTTACCAAATTGATAGTATGTTACAATTCGGTGACTTCGATCGATATGATGCTACGAGACATTTCCTCTCTTTTTAGATTTTCGCAACATCTTTATTGTTTTTAATCGTCTAAATTTCATCGATCCGTCCACTGATGTCATACGCTGAATCTTTTATTTATCAAATGCACTTTGTCGAAGCAGGATGCGAGATAATTCTAAAAATAAACGCGTGCACGTCACCAAGTGAGAATTGCCGATTCTTCGGAACTCGCTCTTAAATACACGGAAAATTATACGGTTTTAATAGCTGTTCATCTTTCTTCGCATATTCGAGTTCGAAGTTTCTTGTTCGAAGTTTCTGCTCGCAACGTCACGGCTGCTGCAGTCCCGTACGTGATTCTACCGGAAAAATAATCCTGTACGTGTCCGCTAAACGTCAATCGTGTTGACACTAGCGCGATGCCAATCGGTGGCTTTATCAAACGCGCCGCTTTGCTCAGCCTTCAGCTAATGTTGCATTTGTTGTTTCGTCAGCACCGCCGATTCCGTTTTGTTCCTGCAACATCAGAAACGAATTGAGCTCGTTGTTGCAAGCCCGGCAAATTAATTGCACCGTATACTTATTTCATAATAATTATTTCGAATTCTGCAACAAATTTTTAATAGCTGTTCATATATTATAATTATATTTATTTATTACACACTTTTATTATATATGTAATTAAATATATGTTTGCTATGTAAGTATTGTGTGTAAATTATATGTATTATTAATACGTATAATTTATGTACTCTGTATGTGTACGATTGTGGATATAATTAATAGTGACAAAAGAAATTCTAGTTATAATTTTTATAACTTTTCCATCGGTCATTGTCTGTCTTCAATGCTTTCCAGAACAGTCGGCGACCGATGCGCGATAATTCGCTATCTTGCCTTTATATGATTGCAACTTAGACGATCTATATTTAGATCGACACCGTACTCGATACATTTCTTTGTCAAGGTTGCAATATCGATCGAATTATCTTGGTTTTTCTTTCTCATTAATTTACAGTCAAATAACGTAAATCTCATTCATTTACAGTCGCGCATAATACACAATACCCTCTTGAATAAGCATTTCTTGAAACGAATCGATAGCAGATAATGCGGTCCATTTATTGTTGGAGCTTATATCTCCTTTCTGTAATCACATTAAGTATCATATGTCCGGCTCGTCTTTCTTCCGTGTCAGAGATAGCTCTTTCGTGCTGTTTCTTTTATCGGTCCTTGTGGTTGGTATCGATATTTATTACACAGAGAGAATATTTTCTTAAAATTCACCAGTAAGTTTGTTGAAATTTCGAAAAACTCATAAAATTCTTCAAAATGCCATATTGCCTCATGATTACATAATTTTGGGGGTAAATTAAAATTCTCCGTGTGTATTTAGATCTTCTATGATTATATTTAACTCTGTTATATTTAAATCCAAGTCTTATAAACATTTATTGATAATCCATTGATGTTTATTATCGAGGGATAAACCGCTAAGGACATTGTGGTGTACAGATTTGCGGCTTTACTGGGCATTTTTTGGGGCATTAGTTTGGGCATTATAAAGATAAAATAAGATAAATTAAAATAAATAAGATAAAATGAAGTAAATAATATAAATAAAATAAGATAATAAGATAAAGTAATGCCCACTGGGCATTAGTGTACAAGATGTTTGTCAGCGGTTTTCCCCTCGTTAATTATTATTCAATTATCAGATATCTAGTAACAGTTTCAAAATTTGATTTATATTTCGATCGTCGTTGCTCCTCCTCTAGTCTTACTACTTGCAAGATATACAGGGTGAGTCTTTCCATATCCGACAAAATTTTTAAGAAGGTAGAACGGATCGAGATGAACGAAAAAGTCCTGTACCATTTTGCAATTTTCGTAATAGTTAACGAGTAATTAATTATTAAAAATCATTGTCTTAGGCCAGCCTACCGCCCAATTCGAGCGCGTGGCAAGATGTGACCGCCCGGCAATCGATATTGCTATGCGCACATCTCGCCACGCGCTCGAATTGGGCGGTAAGCCAGCCTAAGACAACGATTTTTAATAATTAATTACTCGTTAACTATTACGAAAATTGCAAAATGATACAGAACTTTTCCGTTCATCTCGATCCGTTTTACCTTCTCAAAAATTTTGTCGGATATGGAAAGACTCACCCTGTATATTCAAAAAAGTACATTTTACAAAACGCCGGCGCTCTGTAATAAAGATTATGCGACATCTTTTTTTTAACGGATTTAACAATTCAATATTCTTCCATTATTAAATAATCTAAACTGTAGTAAAGTTTTGCTTTGTATAGCCAATTTGTTCTGCTTATAGACAGCAAATATTCTATTGGTTAACAGTCGCAATTTTTATATTAGTAAAGAAAAGTACGCTATTATGAGATAGCGGGAGTTCACCGTTAAATTAATAGACATCATCTGTTGGTTCCACCATAAATTTATTGCCCTTGGAGCGAAATCTGTTTAGTGGATAATTTTTTGTTAGACTGTGTAATCGTGGCGAAAAAGGATTTGTGATTAAATTTGGGTGTTGAAAACCTGTTATCTCATATTAGAAACGTATCTCATAATAGAGGACTTTCCTCTATAAAATTGCGATACTTTATTGTTATTCCAGTTTTATAATAATGCAAATAATATTAATTCCGCAGATTCGAACAGCCAGTATGCAGCTGCGTATTTAAAAACCGGCACCACGAGCGGTGTCATGTACGAGCTGAAAATCCTGACTTCAGTCGCATGGAAGCTGATGTGCAGTAACGATGCGAGTATCGACAAGTGGTGGTTAGCCACGGAGGTGGCTAACGCGCGGGGATTTCATGATCTAGTCTTGAAATACTCCACTAATGGCAAACCAAACGGGAGCACCTCCGATGGAAAGTACATGTATCGTTTCATGCAAATTAGACACAAGAAGTCGATGCACAATGCCAAGTTCAAGAAATGTCATTTAACATCTATGCACAAGCTTCATCGTCAGGGCAGCCTGATTTACCTATTCAAGTCTTATGTAAACATGCTCGACACCTACGAGAAGATCACACCTGATCAAATTGTAGACTTGACAATTTTCACGAATATGGGTAATGCCGATTTACATTTCCTGGTGCCTGTGGAGAACGACAGGCTCTACGGGTTTAAAGGAATAGGCAAGACATATCGTATTGACATAAAAGTCTTCCAGAAGCAGCCGCTTATAATGGTATGCTTGCAAAACATAATAAGCAAGAAAACTGATATGCCCGCTAGAAAAACTCAACGGGATGACGAGATCATATTTGACTTCTTGAGGAAGTTGGTGTTCGCGTTGGACCAGCCCTCCAAGCCCGAGTTGGAGAAACTGATCGTCGAAGAAATGGGCAAGACCTTTAATGTACCGCAAATCTTCTACCATCACTTGTACAAGAATATAATCGACTGGTTTCTTATTTACAACAAGGGTACAGCGCCGTATCTCACCGAGGACAGCGTAATGCAGTATCTGAAGGACGCGCAGGATTTGCTGTGGGAAGCGAAGAAGACGGAAATGCTCGTTGATCCAGTTTCGAAGATAGCGGACAAATTAAATTTGTTATCTCTCTAAACAGAGAAAAAGAAAGCGAGCCAAAGGTTTTTCCTTATTTCTTGCGTATTGTAGTTTTTGCATAGTACATGTGCGTCTTAAGTTTTTCACTACAAAAATTATGTTATTTGGTAAAATAATGCATACAATACTTTGTAAGAGAAAGTTATAATATCTATTTGTAATGTCAAGTCTAAAGCTTTAGAAGAAAGTTGAGGACTTTTGATCGACTCATCGATTCATTTAAATTTCAAAGTGCATTTTATGAGGTACAGATATACATACGATGCCACTTCGACAATACATGGTAATACAGTAAATCAGTAAAGCTATCTGTTAAATATCTGTTCAATTATATGTTGATACTCCGCCGAGTGGATCGTTGTATAAAAAAAATTTTCTTTATTTCGATAATGCCATTTTATTTTTTAAGTATTGTAAGAAGTATTAATAACATGATATCAATTATTTCTATAAGTTTTCAAGACTTATCGCATAGTTCCTAATATAAATTTTTCAGAATTTAATTAAATAACTTATAATACAATTAGACCTGGTTTCACCAACGTCGCTTAACTTTAATTCATCTCCAGTTTGATTTATTGTTCGTCGACTTGTAACTTTAGAAAGAGACAAACATGAATTAAACTAAGATTAAAGTTAAACAACGTTTGGTGAAACCGAGACTTGGTTGGAAAACTTAAAGCCTGATCTACAATGTGCTCTTTGCGTCTCTTATAATTTACTTTACAATATATACTGATGATTATGTGACGATAGAAAGTTATTTAAACA